CTACGATTTCATCAGGTGCCATTACACAGACAGAGTGCGCCTGTGGGCCTCGGCGGCGCTCGAAGGTTTCCAGTGCCGTTCGCTGCGGCGGGCGATGTTCAGCAATTTGAGAATGCCGTGGAGTTCCACAGTGGTCGCCGCTGAGGCCTGCCTCTCAGGGGTGGCCGTGGCTACAGCCCCCCTTCCTTCTTCCATCGTTGCGTCTATCGGAAGAACCAGCGAGAGGTGGAGGTACAGGGTTCCGTCAGCTATGTCAGCGCGCGCGTCTGCGCCGGGCCCCGCAATGGGCTCCTATGGGGACGGGATGGAGATCAACAAGGGGCTCCACCTTGGGGAGCAGCTGGGTGTCTTCGGGGACGTCGACACCGTCTTAGGCTTCAAGGGCCCAGGGCCCCCACAACGAGGACCCCTGGGAGCTCAACCCCGACTTTCGCGAGGTCCCTCTCGAGTTCCTCAAGGAAGAGCTCCGGGGCGAGGTCTTCGCAGCCCCCTTCCACGTCTCGGAGGCCATCGCTGTCTTTGGGGGCGCGGGCCAGCAACGCGGGGTCCAAGCACGTACTTCGGTCCTTCAGGGCCTTCAACAAGCGGCACCTGAAGTTAGGCGACAACCTGGGTGCCATCCTGGCCCTCTCCAGAGGTAGATGTTATTATTTCGGGCTCCTTCTATGCTGTCGCCGGGAGGACTCCTATACCATCGCAGCCAATGTTCGGTTCGAGCACCGCCGGTTCCCGCCCAAGTGCGACCGATCCGACCACGGCTCGCGCCGCTGGGAGACCAAGGATGGAGACATCTCGCCTCCGAAGGGCGCCCGCCCGCCCGCTCGACGAGGCCAGCCTGCGTGGACGGCCGTTCGAGGGCAGCTCGCGAGAGGGGCGGGCAGCCAGGGGGGTGGCGGCCTCGGGCGCGTTCCACAGCACCACGGAGGGCAACCAGTCCTTCCTGGAGGTGAGCGCTGTGGCGCCCGCCACGCAGGGCGTCTACACGCTGCATGCTGGAGCTCAAGCGTTTCGTCGTGGCCCGCGGCCTCTCGCTGGGTACCCCGGCCGAGGCCGACCTGTCGCCGGCGAACTTCGCCAACTACGCCTGGACAGAGGGCATCAACAGGGGGGTCGCGCACCGGACCTGCGCAGCCGTTCTCTCAGAGCACTCCGACTTTTCCCGGCGGGGCGCGCTACGCCTCCCGAGGTTGTCGCGAGCGATGCAGGGATGGGAGAGGCTCGACCCAGGTCTCACGAGGCCGCCGATCCCGTGGATCTTGACCTGCCTGCTCGCCCAGATCAGGATCGTCGACCTGGAGGCGCCCATGGCAGCGCTCATGGTGCTGACGATGTTCCTGGCTTGCCTCCGCCCGTCCGAGGCGGAGAACCTGCTAGAGGAGGATATGGTGCCTCCGTCGGCGTCGGCCAGCTTCTTCGTGCTAAACTTCCACCCCAGCGACCGCGGCGAGGTGGGCAAGGTCAGGCTCTCCGACGAGTCGATCATGCTCGACTCCGTCGAGGCGGAGTGGCTCGGCGACCTGCTGCGCGCGATCAAGAGCGGCCTGCCGCGACGCCCGCTGTTCAGGCCTACCGTGCTTCAGCTGCGCGACTTCTGGAACAATGCGCTCAGAATCCTCGGCGCCCCCAACAGGTACGCATTGCCAGCTGCGCCCCGGGGGCCCCTCCCACGACCGTCTACAACGCCAGCGGTTTCTCCCAGAGATCAAGGAGCGCGGGAGGTGGGCTTCCGACAAGAGCGCCAGGCGCTACGAGGCGCATGCGCTCATCCAGCAGCAGGAGGCCACTCTGCCAGCCGCCATCGTCAAAAGAGCCAGGGGCGCCCCAGGACAGCTCGAGCGGCTCCTGCGCGAGAGCCTGGGCTGCCAGCGCAAGCGCGGAGCCAGCGGCCAGGGCCTCCACGGGCCCAAGGCACGCCGCGGCGTTTCGGGCCGCCACCCGGGCTCGGCCGCGCCGCCCCGCCCTTCGTCGAGCTCATTCGCGGGCCCGCCAACCTCGCCAGCGCGGTGGGCAAGCGCGGGCTCGCAGCCGAGGGCTGGGACTGCATCGACGGGGCTCAAGCCGACCTCGCTGGCCCTCGAGTGATCGCTTGTTTTCGCCAGCGCATTGTGTCTAGACAGCTGTGTGGTCTGCTCGTTGGCTTCGACTGGAAGACCTAGTCAAGAGCCAGAAAAAAAAAACACGACGGGCTTGGCCCGCCTCCTCTTCGCAGTGACGATTGTCTTTTTGGTCTTCCATCCCTCTCTGCAGCGGGCCAGTCGCAGGTAAATGAGGCCAACCTGATGTTGTCGCGCGTCCTGAGTCTGATCGAGGCTGCTGCCACCGCTGGCCTTTTTGTTATGCTCGAGGACCCAGCCTCATCCAGACTCTGGCTCGTGCCGCAACTTCTTGAGTTAGTAACCCGCTTCACTGCACAGTTTCAGCGAGTGGATTTTTGCCAGTATCAGGTTCCCTGGCGGAAAGCCATTATGTTTCTGTATTTCAAATTTACTGAGCTAGATAATGATATCTGTGTCTGTGATGGTAGTCATGCGCGCTGCAGCGCATCCGGTAAAGCTCACATCACCTTGCGAGGGACAAACTTGCAAAGTTTGTTCTGGACGTCTCGTGCCTGCCCCTATCCCCCTGCCCTTTGCTCAGTCCTTGCGGAAGCGATCTGCCAACGAGCCAAACCACTCTTTGAAGGTGGGCAGGGGCTTCAGATCTTTGGAGGCAGCGAGCTGCCAACTTTCGAGCCGCCCACACTGAGCGACGCGATTCGCTACTGCAGACATGGCCATAATCTTTTGGCCCTGGCAAAAAGAGCTTGGGCATTGTCACCGCTGGACATGGCGTTGAGCGTTGATCATGTGTGCTCAAGAATTTGTGTGGCCCCACCGTCCTTCCCCTTTCTCCTCCGTCCTCTTTTTCTTCCTATCGGGGATTCAGACCTTTGGAGGCAGCGAGCTGCCAACTCTCGAGCCACCCACCACATGGGCGACGCGATTCGCTACTGTAAGCATGGCCATAAACTCTTGGCCCTGGCAAAAAAAAAGAGCTTGGGCATTGCCGCATCTTGGCATGGAGTTGAGCGTTGATCAATGGTATTGCTGGACCCGCTTACCGCAATCTATTTGGCCGAGGAGCAGAACAACGTGTTTACACGTGCTCCTGGACTCCCCACGTACTAGTCCCGGCCTGAGCTTCTTGCCCTGCTGAGTCTTCTCCCTGAGGCTTCCGTTCTGAATTACAATTTGTCAGGAAGGGCGGCCGTGGGAGCGAGGGCCCATCGTGGTATACAATGGGTCGTGGCCATGGGAGCGGGACCCCTCTGCATTTAACGAACAATTGCGGTCACGGAAGCGAGGGCCCGTTGTATTCCGTGATACGTCATTGTCTTGGGAGCGCAGATTCATTGGTTTTCTCGAGCGGTTGTGTATACCATCTTGCCATTTTATGTGTTTCTGGGCACCCGGAAAATGATATATCATAGTAGAATTGTGTCCCAAGTCTGGTTCTGGGTCAAGTTCGAATTCGCCGTGCGTGCTCGTCGCGGGAAACATCCAGCACTTCGCGCAAACCGAGCATGTTTTCTGAACGGAGGGCAGAGGGTGGTATCCAAAGTGCCGCCTGCTTCAAACTATTGCCACCCATACAGTACTTCCACCAGACCGTTGCGGGCAAGGTACGCCAGCGGGGTGCGCGAGACGTTCTGCGCCGACGCAAGCTCGCGCCGAGTGGACGCAGCGACCGATTGTATGAACGGCCATTCCAAGCTCCAATCAAGCTTGCACTTCGGCAACCGTTCCGGGCCTGCCGCGCGCCAGCGGGATGCTTGCACTCCAGGCAATCGCATCGGGCCCGCCGGTCTGCAGTGCAAGCGTGCTGCGCAACCGCCCGGTGGCGGTCATGAACGGGAGCGCGCGACTGCGTTTTGATTGGAACAAAAAAATCCAGGCTCCAATCAAGGCCACCTTCCGTCGCACTCAGAGAGGCCCGCCCGGGCAGCTCAACCGCCAGCACCATTGTACGCGTTTCCCCCAATTTGCCACACTTATAGAACACAGCATAATTTTGGAGCGCCACAGCGCATTTGGGAACGAAGCGGCTTCTAGAACTCAAGAAAACGTTTCTAGAACTTCGGATTCGCCTGTCGGGCGCCAGTCGCGTGCTCGTTCACCTGTTCGGCGCTGGTCGCGTGCTCGGAGGAACACGCGCGATCGCTCCCAGATCATGGGAGGTATTCATAAGGCCGTGGGAGCACTTCACTTTTTTATCTCCATGGGGAAACGCCGCATTGTCGTAGTCGTGGAAGCCCAACGCTGAGCGTGCGCATGCCGATGCACAACATGCGGTCCAGCTTGCACATCACAAGACCACTAGGCGAATTGATTTTCGTGGCGCAGGCGCACACATGGATTCCATCCAAAGCCATGCACCCAAAGAACATGCTCAGACAAATACGAACTTGAGGCAGGCTGGCCTATGTGGTTGGGTCAGATATGCTAGAAAGTCGTACGAGTGCGCCAAGGATAACGCACGCGTGGGGCGTTCTCCAGGAGCGCGTGCTTGGCGCCATCCGACACGCCCGAGTCAAACGATCCCGATTGCCCGAAGCCGCCCGTCCGATTGAACGCAGCCATACACCTGCCCCAGCTGTCCAACCACTTGCAGCATATGTCTCGGCCCGAGCCCAGCGCGAATGGCATCGACAGTGGCTACCCCAGTCTGGCGCATCATTGCCACGGCTGCGCGCGCAGGTATTATAGGAGAGATGCCTAAGTCAAGTGGGGAGGTATTTGTTAGTGTCACAGGTGTCGAGCAGGAGGAGGAGGAGGAGGAGGAGGAGGAGGAGGAGAAGGAGAAGGAGGAGGAGGAGCGATGAGCAACTAGGAGCAACTAGGAGCAACTTGGAGGAACCAAGAGGAACTAGGAGGAACTAGGAGGAACTAGGAGGAACTAGGAGGAACTACGAGGAACGAGGAAAGGGAAGAGGGAGGAAGAGGTCGTACGCGCGCGCTCAGGTCGAGGCGCAGGGCAAGGAGGAGGCAGCCAACTACGACAAGTACTCATGCTTTTGCAAGGATCCAGTTTTGGGAAGATGGGTGCAGCGGGGAAGCACGTGTCCACCCTCCCTCCCTCCCACCCTCCTCCTCACTCCACTCTTGCCTCTGCCCCCTCCTTTCCTCTCATCCTTCTCTCCGTTCTCGTAGTTCTCCCCCTCTTTCTCCGCCTTCCTTCCCCAGGATGAGGGGGCAAGCACCGTGAGCGGACTTCGGTAGCCCGCGAGGGGCATAGGCCCACGCCTGCAGCCCGACCCCGACGAGGGAGGAGGAGGGCCGCCGTGGCGCGGAGTCCGGAAATCCAGGGGAGGAGGGGCCGCGAGAGCTCGTCATTGCAGCCACCTTTGTCCGTCGCTGTGTTACCCTGTGCCGTCTCGACGCTCTCGTCGACTGTCTCGGCGCTCATTGGGCCGTCTGGCGGCTCTCTTGACTCTGGAGAGCCCCAGGGAATCTCGTACCCCCACCCCACCCCCCTCTAATGCGATTTTGAACCACAGGGGAGGGGGAAATCTTACACGCCTTCTCACCCCCGGCAAGCGGGATCCGGCGGATTCCTCATTCTCTGTCCCTCTCTTTCCCGCTTCTTCCCCAGAAGATCTTCAAGTCCCACGCGGCATGGCTCCCGTGGAGGCACCGTGGCCAATTCGGTCTCCATCTGAAGACGGCTGGTCCTCTCCTTCCCAACTTACCCTTCTGCCGCCTTCCCTACCTCTCTCCCTCTCGTTCTCCTCTCCTTCCAAGCTTTTCCATGTCCTCTCAGGATGTCCCTCATGACCTCCCCGCCTGCCTATTCCCTCTCTGCCGGCGACACTGACAGGAGCAGGCCGACGGTAAGCTGTACGCCATCGAGACATCGGAGAAGAAGATCGAGGATAAATCGGCGCCCTCCTCCCAAATGAAGAAACTCAAGGGGGCGAGGCGCGGAACAGTGTGGCGTGAGGAGGGCGACAGAGCGTGACGGTTGTTGCGAGACAGAACCCAGAAGGGAGCCCCCGATGGGAGATGGAGAGGGGTGACGCTAGTTCGTTTCAGAGTACTTACTCGATCCAGATATTCCGAGAGCGTTGAAGACCCCTCTGAAACGGCCGCGGCATGCGATATATTCTCAGGAGTGACAAGATCGAAGAGATACCCGCAGCATTCGCACCCGAAATGTTCTCATCTTGCCTCTGTCTCAGGATGGCTATATTGCCCTCGCTTCATGATGGCATTGAGGAGGCACAGCAGGGAGGGAACGTTTCGTCCTCAGCAGTAGACCGAAGTGGGCCTGCAAAACTAGAGCGGCACTCCAAGACCTTCGGCCAAGAGTTCCCTATCTTCCCCCTCTCTTGCATTCGCCCCCTCCCCCTCGCCCCTCGGGACTGGAGGGAGAAGTTTTGCCGCTGGTGCGAGTCTCAAGTCGCACACGTGTTGGCTGGTTCGGGGCGGCAGATGTCGTTGCGTCTGCGAGTCCTCTCCTCTTCCCTCTCGCCAGGTGGGGGGTGGTTGGGGGGCGAGTCTTCTCCTTTTCCTTCTCGCCAATTGGTGGTGGTGGTGGGGGGGGGGCGCGACCCAGGAAGGGCCGGCTGGGGGCGGCCTGGGCGGCCTCGTGGGGGGCGGGGCCCAGCAGCCAGAGGGGGGGCCCGCGGCGGCGTGGGGGCCCGGGGGCGAGGCCTGGGCCCACCGGGTGGGGGCTCGGCCCAGCGGCGGCGCTGCCCCTGGCAGCGCAGGGTCGCACCATTCATGGGAGTCGGCTCCGCCGGCGTACAGTCGGGGCCCTGAAGAAGGAGCGCTTTTCGTTGGGGAGGGGCTCGGTGTTCCTTGATTGTTTTGCAGTTTGCCTCGGGTTCCCCTTAGGTTTTTGCACGGGGAATCGAAGTTTAACTTGTGGAAAAGAGGGGCCTCGTTCCTTATTTAGGGTCCCTTAGGTCAACGCCCCGACTGTACCTGGAGCCCGACGCGAGCACGCAGCAGGGGGCATGACGGGAGGGGGGTCATTCCTGTCCTCGCCTGCGGGGGCATCTCTGGATATTCTTGGGCGTAGTCTGGACTTGCTCTTCGGCTGAACTGGTCGCGCCGATTGTCGATTGGTCGCGCCGATTGCAGGATGTTTTGCCAGGTTCGGCAGCGCTGCGGGCGCACCATGCGGCGAAACCAGTTCATTACGTTGAAAGGTTCGGCGGCCGATCGCGCGACTTGCACCACGGAGGCTGGGTAAACTAAAAGGCAGGGCCCAGCCTCAAGTTACCCCCCCTGCCTTCAGACGGGGGATGTAGGGGCGCTTCGAAGCTACTTCCCCCTGTCTAAAACGAGGAGGACTTCTGATGCTGCCCCCCCCCGACTGCCGGAGAGGGGGAAAGAGGGGTGGGGCTTCGGAAGCCAGACCTCCCCTCCTCCTTATGGCCTCCAGGGTGAGGCGGGGCTCCCTTTCCGAAGGGGGCGGAGGCTTCAGGCGCTATCCCCCTCTCCTCCCTTTGCGAAGCAGGGAGCTCGGTGGCCAAGGGGGGGGCTTTCGAAGCTGCATCTCCCTCCCCCACTTGTCGAAGACGGGCAAGCCAGGGCTCCTGTTTGAGGGGGCGGGGTCTCCGGAGCTCCCCCCCATTTCCCCCCTGTTTGTGGTTTTGCGCCAGATTAGGAGGTGCGGTCCGGATCGGTTCGGGCCAGTTCGGCCGCGGGCCGGTCCGGTTGCGCTGGTTCGGTTTCGGCGGCGGGCTGGTTTTATTGCAGATTTCGGTATTGTCGTTCGGGCCAGTTCGGATAGCTCGGATTGGCGGCCACAGAGCGGTCGAGCTGGACATCCAGACCACATGGAGGGGCCTCTCCGCCGCTGTCGCTGCCGCTACCGGGCCCCGCCGGGCCCCACCAGGCCCCTCTGGGCCGCTCGGGGGTCACCGGGGTCGCCTGGAGTTATATCAGGGCCACCCGGGGTCACAGGGCAGGGGCAGGGGGGTAACGGGGCAGAGGGGGGGCACGGGACTGCTGACGGGGTGGTTCCAGCAGGGACCTTGCCCTCGTGCGGGGCGGTGCCGCCCGAGGGGCCTGCTCTCCCGAGGTCCGCCGCAATCTCCCGCCCACCCGTCCGCCGCCGCGCGCCCCCTCTCGGACCCGCGCGGGCGTGGGTGGGTGGGCGTCCTGCGTCACGGAGCGCTCGGTCCTGGGGGTGCTGGGCCTCGTCGGGCCCCACCGGGCCAGGCCCCTCCAGGGCCAGTTCGTTTCTTTCGCCGTTCGGACCGGTTTGGGCCCGGCTCCGACCGGTTCGGTTAGGCCTCCAGTTCGGCCGTCTGGGATACAGGAGCCGCCAGTTCATGGCTACCAGTTCGGTTAGTCGTCGTCGGTCGTCGGTCGGTCGGTCGGTTGGTTGTCGTCGTCGGCGTCGTCGTCGGCGTGGTCGGCGTCGTCATCGTCGGCGTCGTCGTTGGTGTCGTCACCGTCGGCGTCGTCGTCGTCGTCGTCGTCGGCAACGGCGTCGTTTTCATCGGCGTCGGCGTCGGTGCCGGCGTCGTCGTCGTCGTCTTGGTCGTGTTCGTCGTCGTCATCGTCGCGGTCGTCGTCGTAGTCGTTGTCGTCTTCGTCGTCGTGGTGTTTCTCGCCGTCGAGCTTCTCGTTGTCGTTCTCGACGTCGCCGCCGCTGTCGTCGTCATCGTCCTCGATTGCGTCGTTGTAGTCGTCGGGCGTTGCTTCCACGTACTGTATTGCTCTTGACGGTAGCGTAGAATGGCATAGTCTCCGCTTCCCTTGGTTGCCACATGGCAAGTCTGATTCTCCAATCAGAGCTTGCCTCTGTATGGGTCCTAGCGGATTCATATGGTTCGGTTAGGTTTGCCGCCGATTTTCGCCGAACGCCCGGGTGCCCGGGTGTCCGGGGGTGCCCGGGTGCCCGGGTGCCCCCGGGTGCCCGGGTGCCCAGGGGTGCCCGGGGGTGCCCGGAGGTGCCGGGGGGTGCTTGGGTGCTCGGGTGTCAGGGTGCTCTATCGCGCTCTAGCACTATAGCCTTGCACTATAACTATATAGCCCTATAGACCTGTAGCCCTACAGCCCTACAGCCCTATAGCCCTATAGCCCTATAGCCCTAAAGCTCTATAGCCCTATAACCCACTAGCCCACAAGCCCAATAGCCCATATAGCCCATATAGCCCTGTTACCCTATATCCCGATAACCCTATAGCCCTGCAGCCCTATAGCCCTACAGCCCTAAAACGATTATGATTGTTTGTCTCCAGTATCATAATATCATTTGTTGGCCCCTTCCTCCGCGTTGCCATGCACTTTCCAAGTCGTCATGTGCATCTGGTGCACGCCCTGTTCTTGGGACAAGGTTCTGACATTCCAATACAGCGTGCTGGATGGGTCTAGGACCGAATTGAACAGCAGGTCTATTTAATTCTTCACGCTTCGCGTATCCCCACCAGCCCATCTCAAAACAGCAACTCTTGCGAAGCATGCCGACAGTCGTGTTTTTCAGGCGTGTGTCCGCTTGCCCCCGCATATCTCCCCTGTTCCTCCTTCCTCCCGCCTCCTTGTACATCCTCCTTGTGGTGGGAGCGGGAGAAGGACGAGGCGGAGGAGGAGGGAGAGAAAGCGGTGGGAGGCAAGAGGGATGTAGCGGAGACGCCGACCACAGCGATGATCCTAACAACGACGACGCACCCGACGACAATGACGACGATATCGACCGCAACGACGACGACGACCACAACCGCGACGACGACGACGACGACGACGTCGACGACGACGACGACGAAGGCGGCGGCGGCGGCGGCGACGACGACGACGACGACGACGACGACGACGACGACGACTGGTGGGAGTCGTTGGGGCCCCTCGTGGTGTGAGTCGTTCGGCCCCATCGTCCTTGTGTGAGTCCTTCGGGCCCCTCTTCCTGGTGTGAGTCGTTCGGGCTCCTCGTGGTGTGAGTCGTTCGGGCCCCTCGTCCTGGTGTGAGCCGTTCGGGCTTCTCGTGGTTCGAGTCGTTCGGGCCTCTCGTCCTGGTGTGAGTCGTTCGGGCCCTTCTTCCTGGTGTGAGTCGTTCGGGCTCTTCGTGGTGTGAGTCGTTCGGGCTCTTCGTCCTGGTGTGAGTCGTTCGGGCTTCTCGTGGTGTGAGTTGTTCGGGCCCCTCATCCTGGTGTGAGTCGTTCGGGCCCCTCCTCCTGGTGTGACTCGTTCGGGCTCCTCGTGGTGTGAGTCGTTCGGGGCCCTCGTCGTGGTGTGAGTCGTTCGGGCTCCTCGTGGTGTGAGTCGTTCGGGCGCCTCGTCCTGGTGTGAGTCGTTCGGGCCCCTCCTCCTGGTGTGAGTCGTTCGGGCTCTTCGTGGTGTGAGTCGTCGGGCCCGTCCTGGTGTGAGTCGTTCGGGCTCCTCGTGGTGTCGTTCGTCCTGGTGCGAGTCTTTTGGGAGCCTCTTGGAGGCCTTTTGGGGCGTCTTGGGGGCCTCTTGGCGGCCCCAGGGGCTTCTAGGAGCGTCTTGGGTGCCTCGGGGGAGCCTCTTCGGGTCTCTTGGGAGCCTCTTGGAGGCCGTATGGGGCGGCTCTGGCCTATTGGCCAGGGGCTTCCAGGAGCGTCTTGGGTGCCTCGGGGGAGCCTCTTGGGGCCTCTTGGGGGCCTCTTGGGGGCATCTTGGGGGCCTCTTGGAGGCCTCTTGGGGCCTCTTGGGGCTCTTTGGGAGGGGTCTGGGAGGTATCTTGGGGCCATCTTTCGGGCGATCGATCACAGATGGGGCGAGCATTTATCTCCCCCCCCCCGTCCGGGCCAGAATCCTCGTGAGGGGTGTCGAGTTTTAGCCCTCCCAGGGATAGAAACAATGACCCTCTGACCACCCGCGAAACCCCCTCTCCAGGCCCAGGGGTAGGGGGTAGGGGGAGGGGTAAACGAAGTAGTAATCTTAGTACTAATAGCAGCAGTAGTAGTAGT